CCTTTTAAGTTGCTATGTACATCCACCCCTGAGCGCTTATTCATTGGTAAAATTTAGGGACAAGTGCGCAATTATCCCAGTGTAACAATTTTAACTCATTTGAGATAGTTTGAGGGGAGCAAAGTAAATAATTGGCGTAATGGAACAATTAAAACTTGGATTGAAACAATTTAAATGGGACAAGTGACGATGTGATACCTTTTAAACTAATGATACCTACATATCCACTTAGTTTGAGTTAATTTATTCAAATTTTTAACGTAATTACTATATCATATCTTTTTATATTGTATATTATAATAAATATACTATATTATAGTTTAATAAATATGATATAAATTATTAATATATATTTATTTTAATCACTATTGTTAACAGAAAACGATTTATTCTGTTTGAGTGTCTTAGGAGAAAGTACATGGAGATATATCATCCTATTAGATACGGGTCTAAACTCAAATATCCACTTGATCTAAGACTCTTAATCTAACACTTCTCCTCAACCTGGAGCATATATATCTATCATGCCCAGCTTGTTAGTTGTTACACAGACAAGAAAAAAATATATTTAAAGACACATCCTTGATGAAGATATTTGCCAACTATTCCGTTGAGGGTGTAAAGGAGTGCATATTAAACCCTTCATCATGGTATCACTCACAAAATGACCCTCCGCCTCCACATGTTTAGTCCTCTGATGAAAGATGAGATTCTTAGCAATATAGGTAGCTGATTGATTATCACTCGTCATGGTCATTGGACCATTTTGCAAGAATCTCTACCATTAAATTCTTCAAGTCATGAAATTCTGCGATATGAGCCATTGCTCTATACACAGCCTCTACACTAGAACGAGAAACCACATTTTGCTTCTTCGCCAAGTCACAAGAGTTCCTCTCTCTTACCAAAGTGCAATAACCCATTATAGACTTCCTATCACATCCATCTTTTGCATAGCCTAAATCTGAATAAGCTGAAACACGCAGATGTTCATGCTTCTTGTGCAATAAATCTTTTCTAGGAGAGCTTTTTATGTAAGTTAGGATTCTCAAGGCAGCACTCTAGTGAGCTTCTTTGGGCTTGTGCATAAACTAACTCACAAATCCAACTGCAAATGCTATATCATGTCTGATAACTGTGAGATAGATTAACTTGTGAACTGACCTCCTGTATCTTGTAGGATCCTCAAATAACTTGCCATTCTCAAACCAAAGATTTACGTTAACATCCATAGGAGTACTAGTATGTTTACAACCAAGTAAGCCAGTTTTTTCTAGGAGATCTAGCACATACTTTTTTTAAGAAAGAAGTAACCTACTTTTTCTCTAAGCAACTTCAATTTCAAGAAAGTATCTAGGTCTCTCCATGTCTTTGGTTATAAATTGATGCCTCAGACTCTCCTTAGTGTCTTCTAAGCTATCTATATCACTCCCAGTCAGCAAAATGTCATCCACATAAACAACTAAAATAACAATCACAATCCTAAAAGGGTGCAACGAATGAATATGGAATGATCAGATTGACAAATCTAAAATCCAATATCACCAATTACTCTACTAAACTTATCGAAGCAAGCCCTTGAACTTTGCTTAAGTCCAGATATCGCCTTCTTCAACTTGCACACAATATTCTCCCTACTGAGCAATAAGTCTAAGGGGTTGCTCCATATAAACTTCCTCCTGCAAATCACCATATAAAAATGCTTTCTTTACATTAAGTTGAAACATCTACCACTCCAGATTGATAGCAATAGAGAGAATTAATCAAATGGAGTTGAGACAGGCTATAGGAGAAAAAGTTTCAAAGTAGTCAACCCTATATGTCTAACTAAAGCCCTTAGCAACAAGCCTGGCTTTGTACTTGTCCACTAAACAATCTGGCTGATATTTCACTATAAATATCCATTGACAACCAACAATATTAGAACTAGGAGGAGCAATAAGTAAATCCCATGTCCCTTATAGAAATAAGGGCATCCACCTCCTTAGCTATAGCCTACTTCCAAACAGGAACCAACATAACTTCCTGATAATTCTTAGGTACAAATACAGAAGACAAAGACAAAGCAAGCTGGTTAAAAGATGAAGGAAGACGGTCATAGGAAACAAATTGTAGGATGAGCAGTAGTAGACTATTTACTTTTGCATAGGGCAATAGGGATATCTAGATCAGGAGGAGGATCAAGCTCAGAGGATTGTTGCTAATGGATAGGACCTTTAGCTGTGGACACAGAATTGGTCTGAGGTGAAACAAGTACAGAATTCCTTGGTCTTCTAGTGTACACCTTCAAAGGCTTTTGTGCTGCAGAAACATCCTGCACTCCAGAAATTAACACAGGTTGAAGAAGAGGAATAGATGCTACAGGAATCTCCTAGACCACTTTAGGAAAGAAAGGGGAGCTTCAAAGAAGGTCATGTCAGCTAAAGTGACATATTTCTGACTTACTAGATCAAAACAACGATACTCCTTTTGAGACCTAGAGTAACCAACAAAAACACACTATAAATTTTGGAGACAACTTATCCAGACATGGAAGTAGATTGTGAACTTAACATGTACATCTGAAAACATGAGGAACCACAGAGAACATGTTTGTTAGGATAAAGACAAGTAAAAAGAATCTTCCCAAAGAGAACAGATGATGACATCCTATTTATTAAATGACATGCAAATAGAAAAGCATCAGACCATAGATATTTTGGAACATTTATCTTAATCATCAAGGTTCTAGTAATGTCTAAAATTTGTCTATTTTCCATTCAGCCACCCTAATTTGTTGTGAGATGTGTGAACAGAATGTCTGATGTAAAATACCATTTGAAGCACAAACTGGTAGATTTCATTTTTCATATACTCAAGAACATTATTAGTACGCAAAATATGAATAGAAGTTTTGATTTTTAATTTCATTAAAGAAAAGTTTTGTATCATCTGAAACTTGCCTCCTTTCTGTTAACAAATACATCTAGGTCATCCTTGAAAAATCACCACAAAACTATGAAATAATGAAATCTGCTGATAGAAGAAAAGTGATAGACCCCTGAACTATCATACCCTTAGGAGACAACTAGTCTGAGAGGCTTGAAACAACAAAAAGTTATCATCCTCTGCTTGAGACACCTGAACTATCATACCCTTAGGAGACAATGATGAAGAAACAGATCCAATTGCAAGAGTAGTATCAACGATAACTATATGTGCCCACTCAAACTTTCCAAACTTTGTCCAATACTTTTTCAAAAACATGATTATTCCTATCACAATGAGTGCAATGATGTGGTCTCCTGTCATATCTAGCATGTTGTCCACCAGGGTATCCATGTCCTCCCCTGAATCATGCTTGCGTCCACGACCATAGCTACGATCACAGCTAGCAACCATGGCAAAGTGCTGAACCTAAGGTGTAGATAAAGAGGAACAAAATCCGATAGAAACTCATAGTATACTGGAGATTGTAGATGTCAAGAACGGTATCACCACCAAGAATTTATCCTCCAATGAGGATAGTCAAAGAGAGATTTAATTCAGAGTGGAACTTTGCTACTGCCAAATCTTGACGATACTCTTTGAGGGTCTTCAAGTCAGTAACGAGGGGCTAGTGAACAACCAACTCACAAGAATCCCCCTCAATGCAAAATAGTACTCACTACTCAGCTATAGATCTATCTCCCTACTGGAGAGTAATTGCTCATATAGTTCAAACGCCCTAGATATGTTTTTCTTATTAGCATACATCTCTTTCAAACTATCCCATATCTCCTTAGCAGTCTTTCGAAACATAACCCTTGAACTGATCTTCTCCTTCATACTATTGAACAACTAGGTCATCACACAACAATTACTAGTGAGCCAGTCAGAATAACGAGGATCCTTCGCATTAGGAGGATTATCAACCAGTGCTTCAGCTTCTTTTGAGCACCAATAAGCAATCGAGAAGATTAAGCCCACAACAAATAGTTAGTTCTATTCAATTTCATAGTAGTAGCAACCAGACTTTTTGGACCTATATTCTCCACTGTGAGAGATAGCTGTAGCAATTTGTTTGTTTGCATCCTCAGAGGATGTCATTGCAGCCAGACAATCAAACAGAAAGGCAAAAATAGAAATTAGACATATACCAAAATTCAGCCAGACATGAGAAGTTAGATCTAAAGAGAAAAATCAGTATGTTAATGAGAAAAATTAGCAACATGTAGCCGCAGCAGTGTATAGGGTTAGCAACAGGATTAGTAGAGGCTGCAACATCATTAGATTGAGATGTTAATCACAGCAGAAAAGGGTGGAATTGGGTCCAATCAGCCCTAAACAACGAGAGGTAGAAACTATAACAACTCTTGAAAATAGCAACATTGATTCAGTTGATACAGTAAGTCAGTGGCAGAGGCGAGAAGAAGAGTGGCAACGGCTCAAAAAATTAATTGCCGAATGAGAGGATTAAGACATCAACGACTCTAGAGATTAGTGGTGAGAGAAGAGGACAATAATGGTTTTGGACTTCAGAGCTGGTGACAAGAGAGGAGGATGTGGAGGCCGGTAGCGCTTAGGAGTAGCGAGGGTGAGGAGATAGAGAAAAAGATTAGAGATTAGGGTTTGCGTTTCTCAGAATTGCTCTGCTATCAAGTTAATAGAAAACGGTTCATTTCATTTGAGTGTCTCAAGAGAAAGTACAGGGATATATGTCATCTTATTGGATATGGGTCTAAACCCAAATATCCACTTGATCTAAGACTCTAACAACTATGATATATTATAGTATAATACATTATAAAATATTATATTTTAATGTTATTATATTATATTATATTCTAATATGGTTAATATATTAGTGTTATTTAGATACTAGTCACTCAAATATTCAATAATTTCATATTAGTTCGTCAAATATTTGAAATTGATTATACGTCCCCCAAATCCTAGGGGTTTTTGCAAATTGGCCCCTTAAGGTGTCTGACATTAGATCTAGGGGAATATTTCCTTAAATATAACATTTTTAGGGGAACTTCTAGTCATACCCCGCACTTAAGCAATCTACTCGTTCACAGGTTTAAACCCAAAACCCGCTAACTAAAATCTCAAAGTCCATAAACATCATCTTCTTCAATGATAAAAATTTACCTCGTATTATGCTTCCCTAACCGTCAGTTCTGAGGTTCTCCAATGTTGTAACTCGTGTGTTTGGTAATTGAGGGCATTGGGTTAAGAGTTAGCACAATCATGGTTTTAAGATCTAACTACAAACCAACTGCGGGACCAATTTGCAAGACCTCTTAGGATTTAAGAGACGTATGAGAAATTTCAATGAGTTAAAGGACTAAAATGGAATTATTAAATATTTGAGGGACTAATATCCAAATAAACTTAGAATATATTATAGTATAATATATAACACTATATTGTATTATAATATTATAATATCATTAATATAATATAATATAATATAGGTTTGATGGTTATGAGTTAGCGACTGATTTTTGTTAAATGAGCTACTAAAAGGTAAAGATGTGAGACCCACTCATCCAATATAACTTGGTGGTGTAGATTTCACCACATGTTAATCTCTTGATAGATCATTTAGCAAATTGAACCGCTATCTCATATATATTATTTTGAAATAATATTTATAAATAATATATTAGATTAATATAATATAGTCATTTTAATTATAATATTTGTATTACATTATAAAATAAAATAAAATATATGACATTACCTTACATTATTTTATATGTTCAACTTAATATAATATAATACCTTGTAATTAATATGGTATATTAACAATATGTTTAATACTATTAACTATCTAACAATATGATTAATATAAGATAATTAAAATATTTCAATATTTTTAATATAATATATAATCTTAAAATAACAAAATATAATATAGGGTTGTCAATAGACCCTTGTAGTATCATCCAATTGCAAATAGATATATATATATTTACTTGTTGTGAAAAGCCCCCGGTACTACTTGTTGCAAACAGACCCTTGAGTGAAATTTTTTTCTCTTAAAGTCCATTAAAAATGTTTGAGGACACGAATAGACCTATAGTTCTATTGGTATTGGTGAGGATAGACACCCAGTTTCTATTTTTTACTTCTAAAAGAGTTGAAAAAGTTCACTAAGAGAGCATATTTGCATTGGGTCAATACTACAGGGGGTCTATTCACAACAAATAGAATTACAGGGAATCTTTTAGCAACAAATAGAACTACAAGGTGGTCTATTTGCATTTGGGTATATATCATTTAACATATTATTGGCATATATTATAATATAGTGATATATAATTTTATAATTAATATAAATATGTTAGCAATATGTTTAAAACTATTAATCATCTAAACACTCTTTTTCTAATATATATTAATTGATTTAGTTTAATATTTAATTATTAAATACAATTAACATGTGTTGGTTATTTAGTCAAGGTTTTAAATGTCGGCCGACATGTCCGACATGTCGGCCGACATATCGGTTTGAGGGCTTGACCGATACGACATGAACGTTTTCAACTCGTATGTCGGTTTTCAGGACCAAATCGGAAATATCAGGGTCATATCGGGCATATCGGCCTATTTTTTAGCTTTGAAAAATCGGTCGATATGATACTTTTTTTTAAGATCTATTTTTGTTATCGGGTATGGGTTTAGTGATAAATACCCAAACCCTTTTGACCCGTTCTCATGTTTAAGAGTTTCTTATGAACCCGATAGAAAGAATTTATGATCCCAAATCCATATATTATTTACTTATAAATATGTTTAGTCTATAGAATATATAAAGTATGCTTATATTGAATTTATGAATGCTTAGATTACATTTAGGACATGATATTATACATATGCGCACTACCCGATATGATAATCCGATATTTAGTTAATGTCCCCCGATATATCCCCGATTTTCGCTATCTGACATGGATTTCAGCCATCCGACATGAACCTGACATTCGACATTTATAACCTTGTATTTAGTACATGTAGACTCCAAATTAGTTCCAGTTATCCCCAATTGTCCCAAAGGTTGGAGCCAATTTGGCTTTGGGTGCAAAAATATTTCTAAATAGGTTACAATTTTATCGCACGTATGTTCCCAAGAATGAATAACACTAGTTTTCCAGAGCACAATCCCATTGTCTCAATGAATAATACCATAAAGTAAATTCCACAATTTGATCAACAAATATTCTATAGATGACATCAACATCACTTTGTAAAAGCAAAATTGATATTAGTTTCAAAGTTATCATTCACGATTTATGAAGCTAGAATTTGGCATAGCAAAACTCGCATGTGAAATACTCTAGTGATATATGTAGGAATAATCTACTTATGTGATGTATAGGGATAAATTTTCATATGATAAGTGAAACTATTAGTTTACATACAAAAATCCAAAATGTGGCCTAGCAAGCTTATGAAATGACAAATAAAAGTATAAGAGATGATAATATATAATCTCATGTATGATTAGTTCGTAAGTCAATGTGGGTATAGTAAAAGCTTTAATGGCAAAACAAAATGGATAAGAGACAAGACTATGTAGTCTCACCTTTTAACTTGGTTTTCGTCTAATATACATATAGGTGAGGGGAAGGTTTTATTTATTCTTTTACTTTTTTACTGTCATTGTTATAAGCGCGTTCTATCTATAGTTGTCCCTTACCGCCATCTCCTTCACTTTATTGGCTAGAAAGGTTTGTGGTTTATCTTACAGATGAAACTTGTTGAGCTTGGTGCTTAGTTGTCACCATTTTAGCCTATGGTAAACTAGATTCTACAACTGTATGTCCTTGTGACATTACCTCAAACATTTTATTTCCTATGTTGAAATGTTTGATAAATGATAATCCTTATCTAAGAAATTCAAGAGAGTATCTATCTCTTTATATTTAATTGTATCCTTTTAAAATATAATTGTGACTGATAATAGATTAAACTTGAGGCTTGCCTTGTCATATGAATAGTACTCACTCAAGGTATTTATGTAAAAGATTAAATTGGGTCACGATCTTCCAGTTATTTAAGGTTATCATCATCCAAAGTAAAATGACATGCTACTAGTGAATAATAATTAAGTGCAGTGTCACAATGAATATATTAGTTTTTTTTATATTTGAATATTTTTACATGGAAGGGATAAAGGAGAAGATTCGCTTGAAGAGAACAAACTCTTTTGTAAATTGTCCCACACTTTAAATTTGTCCACCTCACAAAGTGAGATGAGTTAGTTGGAATTGAACTATAGTCATAAATTAGAACTGAAAGTTAAATAGCTATCAAAATTTAGTCCAAATCTAGTTCTCATTGTGCACCATAATATGATTAACCTTAACTCTAACTCTAATAGACTTACGACTTGGAGGTCCCTCTGAATTATTCCAATTATAATTTCGAGTTTTGAAGTGCTGAATACCTGAGGCTGGGTAGATATAAGTGAATTAGTACTTCCTATCTAGCTCCTGGTACTTTAGTTAGGAGAAGCTTGCTATATTTTCTCAAGTGCATAATGTTGTTACATGTAGCATGCAACTTTTCTTCTTGTGTACTCATTCAATAATTTACAGCAACCTTCTTCTACACGGGTGAAAGACGGTTCTGCTACACGACCAAAAGGTACCACACTTGAAAAGGCCATCAACGACTTGGAAAAGATAGTTGCCTTACGTAAGTATCCTGAGACGTTGCTAAAGTCTAGTAATTAATAGGAAGGGTTTTCTTCTTATTCTGCAAGTAGTTTAATTAATAGAAAACTTTTTTCCAGACAGACCACCTAACCTTGATTTTCAAGAAGTGGATACTTCAGACCGTGGAGCGAATAGGAGGTTGCCTCAAGAAGTAAAGCAGAATCTTGCGAAAGTTGCTAGATTATCGGTACTGTGCTGAATAGCCTTTTTTTGAACGTCTGTGCTGCTGTCAATTCTTTCAACCTTGTTCATCTTTTCATCTCGTAGAAACTCGTTGTCTTTGCATGTCTGCACAATTTTCAACTCCACATCTTAAATTCTTAAATTAGTAGATTGAAATTTACTTATTTGATGATTTCATATTTTGATGAACCCCTTACTAAAGCTGAAAGATTATGATTGCTGAGACTGGTTTTGTTATTTTTTGGCTTTAGATTACATTTCAATATTGCAGTTTTATTGAAAGACAACTTTACGTGGATCTTTTCACCAAAAAAAAGTGCAAGAAACTTCGATGATGGTTCAATATTCATTGATTTAAGCTTCAATCAGTTGTATGACTTCTATGCACAAAGATCTATTTAGCTGCAAAATGCTGCATCATTTTGTTTGATGCACATTTCTATCTTAAGTTTGGTGATAATTTTAAGGAACCTGGAAATATAAAATAGTGTAACAAGATGTTGTGACTTGTGAGACAACATTACTGCATTTATTGATATTGTAAATGCCAAAGTTTTTCTGAATAACTTTCTTTTCATCTTACATACACATAAATAATTTTACTGTTTGTGCTTCTGTAGACCACTTTGAGTTGCTCATTATATTTCTAAAAAATACATACTGAATTAATGTATACACGCTTCAAACCTTCAACTCAGTTTCATTTGTTTGTATACATACACCTGTTGTAATAATATACATTGGCTATTTTCGCTTTAATCTAAGCAAAAAAGGGCATCTTAGCGTATCTAACAGCCCATTTGTTCTACTTAGTGTACACCTATCATTCATCATTTGTTCTATGTTCAGTCTGCAAGAATCTTTATAACTTTCAGTTCATGTCATTGGCACTTCAATAGAATCTAAATTTCTGAGTGATGCAGGCAAGTCAAAATAAGATCCCAGAAGATGTCTTACTCAACCGGCTTATGGGTATTGTTGGGCATATGGTACAGCGCAAGACGTTGAAGGTAAGCATAATGGGAAACAGTGTTATTACTTTGATCTTTTTTTTTCCTTTGTACTTTTACGTAGTATAAGCTAATAATGATTTTTCATCTTTGGTGCATTCTTGCAATCATGACTTAGTAGTGTGCCTCTATGTGCTAAAAGGCGCACTTTTAGAATTTTTCCATTTGTTGTGGATTTCTGATGCTCAATATTGTGCTTCACAATAACCCAATTCTTCCTAGTCAGAGTTCTTCAGAACTTTTTTTAAAGGTTCATTTAATTCCCTTTTCCTTTTATACCAATTTATGACCTTTTACTCCCTTTTCGTAGAATGGCCTAGTACATTTCGAGTACAGGGTGAACAAATTTGTCAACTCTATATTAGTAACGTTCTTACATAGAAGTCATAGAGGAATGACTATGATGATGCCATATTTCAGGGGAAAGGGGATGTATTGTATGATTGTATAGATGCCCCTGACGGCTCAAAATATAAAACATTTCCTTAACATGTAATTCTCTTGAAACCTATTTAACAGCTCTTTAACCAACTGAAGAGTGATCATTTCCTGTTGAAGGATCAAACAAATAGGATCTCATAACGTATGATACTAATAGAACATGAAAAAGGCCATTGTAGCACACCTTGCTCTCTTAGAGGAGAAAGGAGAATTAACGACTATTCTTTTATTCATTACAATATATAGGAGAGTCAGATATGGGCAAAATGTGACATCTTATATTGCATATATGCTGGGATTGGTGGAAACTCAAGTATGTCCGTATTGCATGTATGGCCTGGTTGTAAGTCCAATTCTATGACTTGTGAAGAGTTTAGGTCCTGGATTTTGATCTACAAAAACCAAACTCCAAATAGCACTGACTAGTGGCTACCTCTCACAAGGAGGATGTCTCGCTAATACATGACCTAATGATTTAAGCACCTTATGAGTAAATCACTTTCCTATTAGTGGGGAGATCTTGAGCAACAGATGGAAATGAGAGAAAATCAAAGCAACTTGAGGGCTTTGTTTATTGTGAGCAACAAATGGACAGAGCTTGCTAGTCTGTCTTTTATCAGGTTGTGAGGAGTATGGTCACAATGCTTAATAATTCATGTTCCATGGTAGAAGGTTGGCATGATCAAACCGTAATTGGAAATATATTTTCTCCTTGTTATAAACATGTATTTGCTACACATGGCAAGGTTTTAAATGTCGGATATCGGGTTCATGTCGGACGGCTAAAATTCATGTCGGATAGCAGAAATCGGGGATATATCAGGGGACATGAAAAAACATCGGATTGCCATATCGGATGCTGTGCATATGTGTAATATAAGTATCATAATGAAAATCTAAATATATTTAATAAATTCTATTGTGTAAAACACATAAAAAAGTAAATAACTTATTTAGCTTAGGGTTGATGTTGAAGAAAAGAGGTGAGAAAAGAGAACTTCGATGTTGGCAGTTAAGAAGAGAGAAAATCACCCGATATTGATGTCGAAGAAATAGCTCGGAGAAGACACCAATGAGATGTCAAAGGAGAGAGAAGATGAGTGATGAAAATTACTTCGATCTTTTTTTCCATTTCCCTTAACTTATCGGTTTTTGTCTTTGAAAGTAATATGAAGACAGTCAAGAATTTAAACCCAAACCTGATTAGATAAACATAACCAAAAAAATAAAAAAATCACCCAATTTTTCAAACTGAAAAATTGGCCGATATAACTGACATGCCCCCAGACATAACCGCCTGACATATCCGATATGTCCCCCGATATATCCGACGTGAACCATGAGAACGCAATATGTATTAAAAAGCTCTAACTTTGATAGTCGGATAGCCCCTAACTTTGACATGTCGGCCAACATGTCACTCATGTCGGCCGACATGTCGTATATGTCGGCTGACATTTAAAATACCGACTGATGGTTCTTAACATTAAACCTTATGTGTTTTATTTTAGGAAAAAAATGTGTCCAGGCCCCAAAAACAGAAATTTCATGTGCTGCAGCCCCTCCTACTATACCTCATGTGGTTCAGCCACTTGAAGTGTGATATTTTGTGCTGCAGCTACTTTTTAACAATTATTACATGCCAGCTAAGCTAAAATCCCCAAAATAACCTTATCCCCTCTCCTCAATCCTTCAAACCCAGTTCTCTCTCTCTCTCTCTCTCTCTCCTCTCTCTTTACAAACAAGGGCTTTCTCAAGCTCGTTGCCCTGGCCCTCGTCCTCCTCGCCGTCGCCACCTCCGCCCAGGCACCCAAGCCTCCCCCGAGTTCGCCTCCCCTCCTCTCCTCCGCCCGACCTCATCACGGTAGCTCGCCACCGCTCCCCGTCTCGCCCTCGACTACGCCGGAGTTCGCCGCTGCGCCTGCCACTTTTGAACCCTATAGTATGATAGGCCGGAGGAGGATGACCAAGAGAAAAGAGTGCATGATGCTCAAGAAAAGTGAAAATGAAGGGGCTGCAGGCACAAGGCCACTCTTTTTTTTGGAATTTAATGAGAAGCCACTGCTTGTTAAGGAGATTGTTAGTCAAGATGGCGAAGAGATGCCTGTTGGGTTTGAAATTTTAAGAGCTGATCTTGGTGCTGGAGCTAAGGAAGGAGATGGCGAAGTTTTTTTTGATAATTTGATGTTGGTATTCTTATCTTTGCTTGGATTTTGTCATGGAGTATTCTCCCTGAAGAAATGTTGAATGCCTTAACTTGCAGGAATTTGATGCTAAAATTTGATGTTGGTATTCTTATCTTCGCTTGGATTTCGTGTTCGTGTTAGTTCTAACTCAGTTCATGTTAGCTCTAAATAGTTAGTGTTCTAATTTAGAACTAACAAGAACTGAGTTAGAACTAACAGGAACTGAGTTAGAACTAACATAAACCCAGTTAGACCTAACATGAGTTAGAACTAATTGGAAAGCTGGAGTCGTGTTCAAGCCGTGAAATGCCGCGTGCGATGTCCTCAAGGAAGCAAAACACTTAAATAATTTGATTTGCATATAAGTTGGCTCCATAACCCGTATAATAGGTATCCAAACCGATGGTTCTGGGACTAAATTCATACCACAAATGCTCTCATTCTCTACCCACTGATTTTTTTGTCTTTCATGTTCCATGATCACATACTAATTTGGATTTAGCATTTTTATTTTATATGCTTTTCAGAATTAGTGCAGCATTATTCCAAAAACCGACGCCCAAATCCTGCTGTATCACGGCTGTTTCTCTCTTCGCTCCTTGCAAATCCTTATCGTGTTGTTAACAACGTCGACACGATCACTGAAATCACCATATTCTTTCGATAATTAATTCACTAATCAATGCATAATGCGCATTTGGGAGTTTGCAACATTTGCAGAAAGCTTTCTTGTGCCATTTCGTAACTAACATTGTATAAATTAGAACTAACTTGGTATAAAATAGAACTAACATTATATAAATTAGAACTAACTTGGTATAAATTAGAACTAACGTGGTATAAATTAGAACTAACGTGGTTAAAATTAGAACTAATTTGTTATAAATTAGAACTAACTTGATATAAATTAGAACTAACATGGTTAAAATTAGAACTAACGTGGTATAAAATAGAACTAACTTGGTATAAATTAGAACTAACGTGGTATAAAATAGAACTAACGTGGTATAAAATAGAACTAACTTGGTATAAATTAGAACTAACGTGATATAAAATAGAACTAACGTGGTGTAAATTAGAACTAACGCGGTATAAAATAGAACTAACGTGGTATAAATTAGAACTAACATGGTATAAATTAGAACTAACGCGGTATAAAATAGAACTAACTCGGTATAAATTAGAACTTACATGGTATAGAATAGAACTAACACTGTGCAGATTAGAACTAACACTGTGTAGATTAGAACTAACACGCTACAGAATAGAACTAACACTGTATAGATTAGAACTAACACGCTACAGAGTTAGTTCTATTTTTATACTAAGTTAGTTCTATTTTATACCACGTTAGTTCTATTTTATACCAAGTTAGATCTATTTTATACTAAGTTAGTTTTATGTTATAACAAGTTAGTTCTAATTTTAACCCCATTAGTTCTAATTTTAACCACTCTCCGTGCGCCTCTCTCATTTGGGTATCGTGGGCTCCAACCAAACAAGTACCTAACAACAAATAATTACAACAAATCACAGGATTGTGATAGTTACGGAATGGCACAAGAAAGTTTTCTGCAGATGCTGCAAACTCCCAAATGCTCATTATGCATTGATTCAGTGGGTAGAGAATAAAAATGCTAAATCCAAATTAGTATGTGATCATGGAACAGGAAAGACAAAAAAATCAGTGGGTAGAGAATGAGAGCATTTGTGGTATGAATTTAGTCCCAGAACCATCGGTTTGGATACCTATTATACGGGTTATGGAGCCAACTTATATGCAAATCAAATTAAAAAAGGACAGCTATCAAGATTGTTTAATCTATGACATTACTCACGGGAACTTATATGCAAATCAAATTATTTAAGTGTTTTGCTTCCTTGAGGACATCGCACGCGGCATTACACGGCTTGAGCACGACTCCAGCTTTCCAATTAGTTCTAACTCATGTTAGGTCTAACTGGGTTTATGTTAGTTCTAACTCAGTTCCTGTTAGTTCTAACTCAGTTCTTGTTAGTTCTAAATTAGAACACTAACTATTTAGAGCTAACATGAACTGAGTTAGAACTAACACGAACACGAAATCTAAGCAAAGATAAGAATATCAACATCAAATTTTAGCATCAAATTCCTGCAAGTTAAGGCATTCAATATTTCTTCAGGGAGAATACTCCATGATAAAATCCAAGCAAAGATAAGAATACCAACATCAAATTTATCAAAAAAAGCTTCGCCATCTCCTTCCTCAGCTCCAGCACCAAGATCAGCTCTTAAAATTTCAAACCCAACAGGCATCTCTTCGCCATCTTGACTAACAATCTCCTTAACAAGCAATGGCTTCTCATCAAATTCCAAAAAAAAAAGAGTGGCCT